GTGGGTTGGGTGCCCCCCCCAGCCGTTAGTGGGGCCCAAAGTCCTGTGTCCTGTGCCCATGGTGGCTGTCCTGGTGTCCCAGAAGCCTGCCCCACCCCCTCAGTCCACACCGTGCCACTCCTCTCTGTACACAGCGGGTTCCAGAGTGGCAGTGGGAGGACCTTGGGGCCACTGCACATGGGGGCGGGACTGCCGACTGCTTGGGACGTGACAGCAGAGGGGAGCAGAGGTGGCCACAGCTGCTTGTGGGGGGCGTGCGGAACCAGGGTGGGGTTCGTGGTGAGGTCCCAGGGGCTGCAGGGCTGGTTCGCAGCAGGGGCAGAAGAGAGGTCTCAATTTTACTGGATCCTTCAGAGACCACGAGGCAGCCGAACCCGAGGACCACAGTCCGCATCAACATGTGTGTGTGGGCAGCCGGTCACCGCAGGGCCGTGTCAGCACACGTGTGCAGGCGGCCTGACCTCCCTTCCACTGGCCATCACAGCGTGCCGTGGGGTCGGGAGGAGCTGCACTCGGCTACTGAGGTCATCACTGGGCGGCCCTGAGCTGCTGTCCCATGGCTCTGGGGACCGGCGTTGGCCAGCTGCCCCAGGCCTGGAGCTGGAGACGCGTCTGTGCTGGCCGGTGAGTGGCTCTTGGACGGGACACCCCGGCTCTCACAGGAGTTCTGCGATCAGCAGTGACAGTTTCCCGCTCTCTAAACTAGATGTTCATCGGCACTTCTGAAGTTCTGTAGCGAGCATTGGCATTCTAGAATGGGGGACTTTCAGATGTGCTTTCATTTCCATACCCTTCATTTCTAAACCGAAAAAAAACTAAACAGAGTGGCTTCGTTAACGAGTGACTTTTGGCAAGTCTCTTTCGCATACGTGCAAATGAATATTTAGGGATATACAGGAATTTGGAAAAAATGCAGACTGTGCCAACTTGTCTTAAGTAAAACAACCTTGGTTTTCATTTTCATAGATTTTTTAAATTCTAGGTTGTAATTTTTCTCTCTGACCATCTCTCATAGTCTCTAGATGTCCCATTTCTGCATTTAGGAGAGGAGCCTTGCTGTGTCCTATTCAGACAGGTGGAATATCTGTGCCTTTTTCCAGCACTGATTCCTGTGCGTGAAAATTAGGGATGCCAAAATCGTTTTGTTGCACTAAAACAAAGTCAGCTTTAGAAAGGCTGTTATCGTGTGGCTGGATTATTTCTAATCATGACCTATAAAAATCTTAATTTGCAGTTCTGGCTGGGGCTATGCAGTTACATTGCACGGTTTGCTCTGAAAGAGAGAAATGAATACCGATGGCTGCTCGAACTTGGTCACTTACAAGAGCACACTTCCTTAGGGTGTAGCAGCTATGCCACTGGACTCCCCCTGGGCCGACCACGGTTTGAGTCCTGGACCTGATGGCGCATGTGTGTGTGTGCTCAATAGCCTGGGAGGAGAACAGAGGAGAAGGGATTGTGGGTGGCCATCCCCCTCTCACTTTTCCTCACTGTCTCTGCTTCTCTCCCGGTGAATGCATGTGCCCTAAGGCAAAAACCTCTAAACAGAAGAGAACCATTTACTTGGGAAGGAGAGGCCTTCAAGAGCTTTCATAAACTGCATGTGAATCATTACCTCCAGGGGTCACTAGGCAGCTTCAAGTGTGATGTTTATCGCTCATTTCTTAAACATTCGGAGCAGAGCTCAGTCCTAAAACAGGATGGGACTGAGGCAGCCTGGTGCTGTCCCACTGGGGTCACCTGAGCAGAGGTCCAGAACGGGATGCGATGAAGTGTGCGGCCTCAGGGAGGGATCAAGCCCAAGGGGAGGCGGCAGGAGCAGAACGGGCAGGGCAGCGCCCCGCCCACTTGGTCCGTACCCTTAAACTCACACCGGGCACGTGTACGTGCGTGCAGAAGATCCCGAGAGGAGAATGGGGGAGAAGGGATTGCGGCGTGGCCATCCCCCCTGGGGGTGTTTTCTTGCTTTCTGTCTCTCTGTCTCTGGCGAGCGCATGCGCCCTATAGCAAAAACCTCTCCAAAAAAAAAAAAATACCACAGACAGACCTCAAAAGCATGTGTTCCTCACCTGTCTATATGACCGTCACGTGATCTAACCCAATAACATGAAAAAAATTGCCTCCTTGGCCAGCCTGTGGCGTGGTGGTTAAGGTGGCTGGACCCCACATGGCAGACTATGTGTTTTGAGTCTGCAACCCGGCAGCTTGAAAAACACGCCAGACGTGTGTACATGTGTGCCCAAAATCCTGAGAGGAGAATGGTGAAGGGGTTGCAGCGTGGCCATCCTCCCTGGGGGGTGCTTGCTCACTTTCCTTCTCTTTTTCCAGCAAGCACAAATGCCCTTTAGCAAACTGAACAAAAAATACTTCTATTACTTGAGTTTGTTAATTTTTTAATGTGTATTATTATTATTATTAATTTGACCAGAGAGGTAGACAGAGAGGAAAAGGGAGGGAGCAAGCTGCCAAGTCCGGGACTCGAACCACAGGAGTCCAGTGCCTTAACCACCCCTCCATCTTATGTTTTTAAGACAAATAGAAGTTTTTAGTGAACTATTGAGTTGTCAGGAAAGTCATCACACACTTTTGCATAGAGAAAAAGACATCGTGACTTCCCGAAACCTACTATAACCTTGATTTATATTTTATAGTGTAATAATCTTTGAACTATCCATAAATTTAAATTAGAAACTAATTTCCTAAACATAATTAATCATGAATTACAGGCCTCAGGTTTCCTTTCTTCTCCATTGGTTTCATCTTCAACTTGTGGTTCCGAACGGCCTCTTGAAGAGGACGCTCCTTGGACGCCAGTAAGAAGTCGGACTCGCCCCACGCTGTCCTGGACCCAGGCCCCGAGCCGTTTTCCACGTCCCTGCCTTATTCTCTCACTGTGTGGGCCTGCGGCACCCTGCCTCGCCCCGTTAGCTCCTGGTTCCGTGAAGTTAAACTTGTGCGTTTCTCACTAATCCTGCACATGGCCTTGGACCCCGGCTTGTGCTCAAGCCAGGCCACCAGGGTGCTCTCCTCGGGGCCCCAGGAGCCTTGAGCTCACACCAGCTCCAGGCTTTCCCTGCCAGCCAGCTGAGAGCAGCTATCCCCACCTGTTTGGTACCAGCGATGGGTTTCTTTCTTTCTTTTTTAAGAATTATTTTATTTAACATTATTTATTTATTTTAATTTGATCAGAGAGGGACAGAGTGAGAAAGAGAGAGAGGGATACTAAGAAAGCAAGCTGCCAGGTCCAGGACTTGAACCGTGGTCAGCCATGTAGGAGCCCACTGCCCTTAACCACCACACCACCTGCTGGCACCAAGGGATGGATTTCTTTTATTTTTTCCCAGTGTAAATTTGAATTTAATTAACAATCACCTTTCCATAAACAGTGCATTTAAATGTGCACTGATGAGCTGCACGGCTTGAATAGTCACTTCCAAGACAGACAGAGGCCTTTCCTTCCCCGTCTCAGTCTTTGTTGGGCTAGACACGGAGTCTGCATCTTTCACAGCAGATTCAGAGGGCGAGGATCCAGGTACGGATCTGCACCCAGCCACGCCCACAGCATCGTGCTTCTGCCCTCCGTCAGCCTCGAGCCCACTGCTTGGGCAGCAGCGGCCCGGGCCCCACGGGCGTTAACTTGGGCTCCTGGACAGGCCCAGCTGCCTGGGCCA